TATATATATATACACACACACCTTGCAGGACTTCGTACAAGCCTGCGAGCAAAGACCTATATGTTAAAATTACACCCCCCTCTTCCTTCTGATCACTGCACCAGCTGTAAGTTTGACAGCCATAGTCTCAATATATCAAAGCAGATCCTCCTTCTCTGATCAATTAGTGTTACAGCGATCATTCAATGTAACTTGGTGCCAGCCTCGTACTAAGTCGCAGCTATAAATGGAAATTACAGTCTTGTTCGGCAATCTGTTTGTAACTTGTAACTTTGCAACAAAGCCATATGGTGAGAACCAGGAAGATTCCATAGTTAACAAAAACTCCTTCTATTAATCTGCTAATTATCTCGTAGTTAACATATATAACAATCTTTCAGATTTCAGTTCGTTACACAGGAATTCACAAGGCTACTGGATTTTTTTAAATTAGCATCAACAGGTATTTTGTGTACTTGCAATGAGGGAACTTTGCCTGAAAAAAAGAAAACAAGTGCAGCCACCACATCTAAAGATTGTGATATATTCAGTTTTGACTATCTGTTTTGACTATCTATCAGTCTGACTATCCAATCTCATTTTCCTTTTTTTTTAAATCAATGAGTATGTAAAGGGAGGACGTACATGACTAGGCTACATATTGAATGGTCGCAGGGAGCCAACAGACTACATAGTTGTGGGAAATTGGACTGAACCACGTTTGACTTTATATATGACATGTACGTGAGATGCTAGAACCTTCATCTCTGGATGAACTAGGAAAACTATCCTAATCCTATGCACTATGGCTGTTGTGGCCCTACAGGTTTTCTTTGGCTCCATTTACATATATCGTTTGCGTTTCCTGCGCGGTTTTCCGTGCAATGCAAACGCTAAAATCTTTTATCCGCACGGATTACGCTAGTTTGCGGCTATTATAAGAAAAAACCACACTTGGACTATTTTGTCTGACTAAATGTCTGAACAATGCGCATTTAAAGTGCATTGTTTTTTCTGTTTAGAGCGGCTCAGCATCACATGTGGTTGTTACCTAGGGCAGCATGCAGACAAATACAATCTGCCTAGGTACTCCCAATCCTACAGACTGACACCATCCATTAGGGAATTTTGATATTTAGAAAACTCCTCCCAAAAGCCAGCCCACTGCTTACATCAGGACTGAGGGCTCCTGAGAGAAGTACTAGGGTGGGGTGCTGTGATGTTTTCATGAAGCTATGTACAGCACCCTGCCGGCTCCTCCAGCCAGCCATAATCTGCCTGGAGCAGAACAGGGAAACAGTGATGACACCACCAGATATGTAAGGAAAACGAAAAGATTTTATTTAAATATACATGATTAGCATGTTGATATAAATATAAGTAGATTATACTTCAGTTTTTAAAATCCTAATCGTTACAAAGATATAAATCTTTAAAATAGTACCAGAGAAAGGAAATGGTTTGGGAACGGCCGCCTTAACAATGAAAACACTGCTCAATGTACTTACTGATTTTCCGGCAAAACCCACTTCTACATATGGGTCCACCAGGTTCTTCTTGTTACTGTCCACGCCAAAAATCTGCTTGATGTTATCCAGGACAGCGTCATCCACTGAGGCCACAAGAGAGATGGGTTACCATTGGTCATAGAGTATAAACCACTCACCACATCCACATTTCCCCTATCACTTACTCTGGGGCAGATCTTCCGCTCGGAAAACCCGAAGAGTAAGGTGAGCTCCACGTAGGGACACCCCGGCTGGCCGCAACAAGTTCCCCTCAATATCTTCCTTCTCTTCTATAGTTTCCTTCTTCTCCACCTGCAGGTGTAACAAGACCCATTACTCTACAGAGACTAGAACTAAGAATACGATCCAGTCCTAAACCTCAGATTTTTACACATATCCTAAAACGCCTCAATGTTTTTAATAGTTTTGAATAAAATGGGACAGTAAAAGATGCTCTGTGTAAGCTCAGAAGGGTCTCACGCTAATGACATCATCACAAGCCCATAAGCCCTTAGCATTGCTAAGGGGAATTCCCAGGTGTCTTTGTTATTCTGTTTCTCTACCACTTTATATAGAGCATTATTGTCTGATCAGGAGGAATACTGTACATTACTCACCGGACATTCATCCCCAGGGCCGAGCACGAACAGGCTGACCTTCAGATAGCCCTTCGCACCAGCTGAGAAGTCCTCTGGGTCAGACAGCAACAGCCATTTTTTCAGGAAAGCGTGTTCTGCAATACAACACACGTTATTATATGACCTGGGTGTCCAATATGTGGCCCCAGAATTCCAATGTGATACCACTATAGGTTTTCTCAGCCCCCAAATTGTTAGAAATGGGAATCCTCCTCCAGGACTCTATTGAGCCATCCATTTTGGGTTTGTAAAACAATGAAATTCCCTTACATTAATACAAGGTTAACTTTCTGTGACTTATATAATACTAGATGGACATTTGATGACGCGTTCTACATAAAGACCAGTGTGGGCACTCACAACATCCTAGACTGATAGGAGTGTGGGATTGTTACATGAAATATCAGCAGGGGCCCATTAAAGGACCTATATTGGTTTATCTGTGCTTTTCTACCTTGCTGTGTATGTCTTCTTGCCAAGTAAAAGCGGGTACAGCATTGGCCAGATGAAGTTGTGGATGTTTTATCTTGAAGTGTGGGACAGGGGTTTGGGTAGGGAGGAGGGAGAAAGGAGGGGGAACAGGAAAAAGAAGGGGGCAATAGTAAAATATAGGGTGGCATATATTTTCTTGTATTTTGTTGGGGAGATTCACCCTCACCTACTGTCTTGGTGACAATATTGTAAAATGGGAACATGTTTAGATTGAGTGGAGAGTACTAGTGGTGCACAAAATATTTAATCTCTGGCTGGCTCTCTTTGGCATTGGTTGCTCTATGGGTAAGGGAAGGGGGGGACATGGCTGGACATCAGGGTCTCCCACCTGTACTGTTAGATAGAAAGAAACTGTGCTAGGAATCAAATAACACTCTAAGAGCAGCTGTGCTTAATAGGTGAGTATACCCAAAATAGGAAAAAAGAAAATAGCACTGCGCTTCAAACTCGAACATTATATTCCTAAAATGTGAAAAAAATAGTATAAAATGTGAAATTGTCACAAAGGGATATGCAAATTTGTGTCATACACAACACCTGTGTTGCACAATGCCTGTGCTGATGATAGAAAAAAAAAACCCGTGCTAGTACATCTCATAAAATGTGTACATATAGAAAATCCTGTGTTGAATCTCACAAGTGATGTATAACTCCCTCTTAATCTACATAACCATGTGTGAAGTCCATTACTTCTGGACTTTTTTTCACATTTTAGGAATATAAATTTCGAGTTTGAAGCGCAGTGCTATTTTCTTTTTTCCTCCCACCTGTACTATATGTAGCCAATAGTACAGTGTTTCCCAGGCAAGGTGGCCCGGTTATATTGCCTGAGTGATCTGGGATCCAGCTTGGTAGAACTGACTTGTACTCGGGAAAAATGTATTGGATCCAGTAGAACCATGTTTGTTTGAACATTTCAGATTGCTGCAATGAGATCTTCCTTGTATATTATGCTGTTTACCCTAGGGGGCCGATGGGTCACAGTAGGAGGTGTAGTTTGTTTCCAGTAGCACTGAATACAGACTTTGTATGTGAATCCAAAAGGACTTTTTTGTATATCGATTTCAAGTTTGGTGTCAGATGAAGTTAGCATGCCGCTAGGTTATGACCCAGGTTAATGTCCATTAGTTGATGGATTATAGTACTGATTGTAAACAGAACAGTTGTATCTTGGGACAATCCCAAAAGATGTGTAGCAGAGTCCCTCTAGCATCACCACATATCCAGCTCCTGTCCGAGGTTCCAGGAAAGATATGCTGGCTGAACTTTCTAAAATTTAGACTTGCCATATGTGCGTCATTAGATCTTATATGAGTCTTGATATTTTATATATTTTCTTCTATTTGTTTGTGGAGATTCACCCTCACCTACTGTCTTGGTGACAACATTGTAAGCTGGGAACATGTTCAGAATGATTGGAGAGTACTAGTGGTGCAAAATATGTTTAAATATCTTTATACAGTATGAATGCTTTACAAAATAATTTAAGACATTGAGCTGCCTGTTCTCCTCTAAAAATAACTTTTTCTACTCATACCAACTAATCTGATTCCATTTTTTTATTGGCCACTGTACTGTCCTGGTACAAGTTCCATTCTGGTTGGTTGCTCAAAAAACAATTCTGAGTAGTTGCTCATAAAATCTTCCATCAGTTTTAAATTCGACAAACAGTGCTGTTCTTCTAAACACCGGCAGAGGGCACCCTTGTTTCATGTTAACCAGCTGCTCTTTTATTTTCTATCTACAAAGTGGCCACTTTATTACGCACTCTACCCCTTTCCAGGTAGAACCCCCTTTCCCTTCAGAGCATCCTGGGTTCTTTGTGCCCAGGATTCTACAAGGTTCTGGAAAAAAACTTCTTAGGGATAGTGACTTTTTAGCTAAATGCAGTTCCCGTAGATTTTCCAGCCAATTGTTCATGCTCTAACCTTCTCATCCTAAATGGTTCACACCATGTACTCTAAATTCTTACCCTCCAACTACATATAAGCTCAGAAATTAAAATTTGTCAGACCAGGCAATGTTTTATAATCTGTACTTGTCCAGTTTTGGTGATCCTGTGCCCACAGCAATCTCCTGTTCTTAGCTGACAGTACCTGAACCTAGGCTCAAACTCACAACCATGGCATTGCTCAATAGATATAGGAACTGGCGTCTGACCGATTTGCCACTTTAGTGTGGCCACTGGCTGCTAAAAGCATGCTCCAGATGAGGCTTGAAATCACAACCACGACACACTCCAGTAGCAAAATCGGTCAGTGTGCGTTATTTATCTGGGGGTATTTGTTGAGCAATGCCATGTTGTGAGTTTGATCTTTACCTGGAGCATGACAATGTAATCTTCTGCTGTTGAATTCAGTCTTCTTCAAGGTTTAGGGGTGTCAGCCTCCAGAGACAGCCTTCTGCACACATAAGAGTTGTTATTTGAGCAGTTGTGATTTTCCGTCAGCTTGAAAATGCTTGGCCTTTCTCCTTCTTTCTCTCTCATTACGAAGGGGTTATTACCCACAGGGCGTACACTCACTGGATGGTTTTCCCTGTAAACTCTAGAGACTGAAGTGTGTGAGAATCCTAGATGAACAGAAGCTTCTGAGATGTTGCAATTACCACCTGACGTCATTCCTTAGTCAAAGCCACATTGATCACGTATCTTCCTCATCCTATATTATGCAGAACTTCCTGTATCTCCTATCTCTAAATATAAATAATGAGGCAATGGCTTTGAAAAACCAAACCCTCTTCATATCTGCAATAATGGAGACTCCACTGGCTAACCACACAATAAGCAGGATGGACTTTTCATCTACCAAATGTGAATCTCATCCTGAGACAGGAAGAGATCAATAACTGCAATTTGCTCGTGGCTTCTCGTGTCTCTCTCTCTCATTATCTATCTGTTCAGTCTGGAGACAGGCTTAAGTTAGAATGCTCCTTTATTGGAATTCTGTAAGGAGTACAGGCATAGGGGAGATATACATGTTGTTAATGTGTTGGCCGAAGCATTGCCCAAACTCTCTCCCTGTAGAATATGTCCCAGTGTCATATTTTTCTTTCACCTTGTTCATGTAACTTTTATTACTGCCTGTGACATCTTGACTAGATGTGTAAAATTCTTGCAGTGACAGCTGCTGGGAGATAGCTCAATTGATATAGACATTCCCCCAGAGCAACATCTGCCAAGAGCCCTTTCCCTACACACACTGTGGACAGGCTTTTGGGAATCAAAGCAGGAGCCCTATGTTCTGGAAAATATGTACAGTATATACATGTAAAGCGGGACAGAGAGGAGAGTGGAATAAATGTAGTCCAGCAGTCAAGGCTGACAAACTCCTTGGGGATTTCAGTGCAACAGAAGCAATATGCTGTCAGCCAACAACAGGAAATTATGAGCATGTTAGATTACTGGAAGACCAACAGATACTCCACTGTACTTGCAGCATTTTTAAAAAGATAAAACATGAAGAAATGTACATAATATATACTGTAGACATGTGCACTGCCAAAAAATTCGTTTCGTTTCGTTTTAAATTCGGATTTGTGTTATTTCGTTTTTCGGGATTCGGGTGTGAAAGTCAATTCGGATTCGGAATTCGGATTCGGACGAAATTCGGTAGCGTTCGCACGAACGTTCGTTTCGTTTTCTGTTCGTATTCGTTTCTTATTCGTTTCGTTCGTTTGCAGCAAAAGTGACATTTGAGGGGGAAAAAATATTTTTCTCCTTCTCTAATGTCACTTTGCTCCAACGAACGAAACGAATAAGAAACGAATACGAACAGAAAACGAAACGAACGTTCGTGCGAACGCTACCGAATTTCGGAAATGGAAATTCGGATTCGTTTGCATTCGTTATGTCTGTAATTCAGAATTCGGATACATCCGAATGTCCGAATTTACGAAAATTCGTCCGAATTTCGATTCGGAACGAAACGAATTGCACATGTCTAATATACTGTAGACATACACTTTGAAGAGTCATTCTGTGTTCTCGGGCTTGACTTGGAGTGGTTGTCCTAAGCTATGGTGCACAGACAACCAGTGCACATTTAGAGAGATGGAAAAATAGTATTCAGTGCACAAAGCAGTGCACAGAATGATGTGTAAGCCAACAATGTAAACAGATCAATAAGCTGCAAGCAATTAACCGAATGTCTAGGCAGCTCTACAACAGCTTAGAACAAATGGTTGGATGGACATGGTTGTGTGCCATTAAAGAGAAAGGCTTCAGAATTGTCTTGAGGTTCCAGGCCAAGCAGTCCAGGTGAAAATACCATAGCGAGTTCTGAAAGCCATTTCCACCATGGAATGTCAATCAGATGGAAACAATCAGCAGATATCTACAGATCATACGTGCATGTGCAATGGCTACCATTGTCCTCAGTTACCGGGTGCCTTATTACATTTTGTGGCAGTTTTCTACATCCCCAACAATGTTTATTGCCATCGTGATCTGTCTAGGACAGGGGTCAGCAACCTTAAGCACTCAAAGAGCCATTTGGACCCCTTTCCCACCGGAAAGAAAACACTGGGAGCCATAAAACCCTTTTGACATCTAAAATGAAGATAATACGTCATAGATCGTTTTGTTACCTTTATGCTATGTATATAGGTATATGTGGGCTTACTAACGCACTGGACTCTGGACTTTCCTGAGACCCCGCAGAGCTCACCTGAGAGTAACCCTGCAGAGCACACCATAGATCCTGCCCAGCCCATCTGAGACTCTCTATGGTGGGCTCTGCAGGGATTCAGGTGGGCTGGTCGCCGGGGTCCCTTTCTCTGTACCTCCTCCCAACTCCTCTTGCCTGCTGCTGCTGGGGCCTGGCCTCCTCCACCCCCTCCCCTGTCATCTCTGCCATGCCTCCCCTGGTACACCTGAGACTCATGTAAGAGGCCCCCAAGGCTGCCCAGACCTCTCACATGGGTACCGGCCGTACCCCCCTGATGGCGGTGTTCTATCAAAGTTTGTGACTACGTTACAATGTGTGACCGGTGACGTGGTCACACATTTCAATGTAATCCCGCCCAGTTTTTTGGCGGTGGAATGTGTGACCGCCAACAGGTCAAGCATTCCAACGCTTTCTCAGCGAGGCCCCTTCAGTAGTTCCGCCCTTGGACAGGGAGCCGCAGCAGAGGAATGAAAGAGCTATATGCGGCTCCGGAGCCGCAGGTTGCTGACCCCTGGTCTAGGAGATCTAGATGTTTGAGCATAACAAAATGTGACTTACTTGGTTCTCCGTAAATCATCCCAACATCCATCTGTACGGGGAGAAGAGACAATGCTGCATTTATTCCAAAACTCTAAAAAACACCATCACAAAGACCTGCCCAACTGCCAGCTCCTTGTCCAATGACAGTGCCTTGTTGGTGACTAAGGCACTCTCATTGGACAAGAGGCCGGCAGGTGGGCTAACCTCCATAACAAGGGAAAACAATCTCAGACAGGGCACCAAAGGGAATTCTGGACACGGAGGGAAAATATCAGGCTCCTCCTGGCTCCTGGCCTAAGCTGCAATTTTAATTTCAGAGTAGAGCACAGTTTCATGCTAAAGAAGAAGTGAACTCTGGAGCTTGTACCCAAAGAAGTACTCCCTGTAGTTTCCATGCATCTGATCTTTTCCCCATTACTGACTTACTATGTCTTGTTCTGCACTGTGCCTCTGTGTGGAGGCAGCCATCTTGGTAGAGCGACAGGGCACTTCTTTCTCATGACGGTGAGCAGCACAGTAGTGAAATCACCAAATCCTACTCCAAATCTCCTGATACTAACAGTTAGAAACAGCAGTGCCTTAGATCTCACACTACAGATATACAGCTATGAGGCTGTGGGTACAGGGGTGCCTAGACACAATCACATACCAGGAAGGGCACTGCTAATTTTCATGAGAAATTCCAGATACAAAGGTACATCTTCAGGGTACCGCTAAGGCACAATTAACATTTTTAAATGTCCCCCTATAACAAAGAAAATCATCACTTTTTGATTTTAGGCCCACTTTAACTCCACAGCCACATCAAATGTAGATACAAACTTACCCGAAATTCTCCAATGATGGAGTCAGTCCTGAGGGATCGGGAGTCTAACACCTGAATACAGAGAATGTGAACAAGGTGCATTAGTCTTACTAGTACAGCAAAGTACTCTATGGTAGACTTGTTTAAAATGTATGTAACTCTGTGTAGCCAGTTGTCTAATTCAAACATCTCCACTAGACAAGAACACAGTCTGGAAGTCTGTAAATGCACTCCTTGGCCTTGGCGCCTCCTGTGGCATTTAACAACTGCATATGTTCAAGCCCATTTGAACTTTCCTCTTGAATCAGCTCAATACAATCTAAGTGTATCAAAACAAAGGGTACTCGATAAAGTTAATTTTCTTCGAAAAGTAGCCACAGCCTAAGTTAAAAAAAAAACTGTCCTCTGACCAAATGCCAAAAGCTCAAAAGTAAGCTGATACTTAAAGGTGTATGCACGCATGTGACAATAATCCTGTGATGTAGGAACAACCACCATTTACCATGCACACCAATTAATGAGGCACCATGGCACGTTTTGAGTGGCACACTTTATTTAGCACACAAAAATCTGTCCCTGCCACCAAAGGGCTAGCCGGTTGTGTTTGCCCCCCACGCCTCCCCTGAGTCTGATCATACTAGAGTGGGCAACAGTCACCTCATATACAGTAGTTGGTCTAACACACCTCAATCATAAGAAAACCCTATGAAATGATTGCACAGATTCAGGCCCACAGGGACGAAAGGTAATGAAAATACATGTATCCTGTAATTCTGCAAATGTTAATACATTCTTAACAACAGAAACACCAAATCTATGTATGTATAACTAAAGAAAATCTGCATAAGGAATTCTTTAACCCATAGCTGTTTATTAACGATATCGGGGAAAGTGTTAATAGCCATGTTTCTGTGTTTGCAGATGATACTAAAATTGGGAGGGTCAAAGACACGGGCTTAGACACTATAGCATTGCAGAGGGACCTGGATAAAATAGGGGAGTGGGCAAATACTATTTGGTAGATGAGGTTTAATGTTGGAAAATGTAAAGTAATGCATTTTGGGTCAAAAACAGGCAAGAAGAATACATATTAATGGAAACTCCGCTAGGGAAGTCAGAAATGGAAAAAGGTTTGGGGGTCATAGTAGGCCACAGATTGAACAATAGCTAGTAGAGTACTGTCCTGTATTAAAAAGGGAATGTATTGTAGAGACAGAGCAATCATTTTGCCACTTTATAGGTCGCTGGTTCGCCCTCATCTGGAGTATGCGGTCCAGTTTTGGTCCCCAATCCACAGAAAGGATGTCCTGGAGCTGGAGAGAGTCCAGAGAAGGGCAACTAAACTAATTAAGGGGCTGGAGGACCAAAACTATGAGACAAGGTTACTAATTTTAAACTTGTTCACGCTGGAAGTAAGGAGAGGGGACGTGTTTTTGATGTACAAAATGTTTAGTGGTGATGACAACATCAGCAATAAACTATTTACAGTAAACTCCATAACAAAGACTAGAGGCCACTACCGAAATTTGGTGGAGAAAAGATTTAACCACTAGGGGCGTAGGGGCTTTTTTTCAGTCAGAGTGGTTAAAATCTGGACTTGCTGCCACGAGCAAAGGTATCAGCAGAGAATATTGAATCATTCAAAAAGCATTTAGATATCTTCCTCAGAGACCGTAACATATAGGGGTACAGGTACTCCTAAAAACTAGATCACACAGGGACTCATACACACATGCACAATCACATACAGACACACAAAGATTGAACTTGATGGACCTGTGTCTTTATTCAACCTCAAATACTATGTAACTATGTATAGCAATGGGCAGGGAACAGCCAATCCTGGCGAAGTCCCCATTAACAAATGTTTCCTGATCCAACTGCAATGAATTGTGTCTTTGGTATTCTTAGACAAGGCAGATATGGTGCTGGTGGAACCAACCAAAGTACGGAATCTGCTGAGCTGGGCCATTTCTGGTAGATACTCACCTTAAGGAAAATGGGTTCATCAAAGAGATCAGCCGGTGATTCAAAGAAGTTATAAAAAAATGTCTGTAAAAAGAAGAATGGGGGCTCAGTTAGATGACCAACACATGACCAGCAAGAGTTAAAAAAAACAAGCTGAACTAGTGACATTGACTTGTTATAGATTTTATATATACAGTGCGATGCATAGCAACCTTTATTTCAAAAATCTTTTTCGGGATATGTTAGAATTTATTCACCGCCTCATCATGTAAAATGATTATATATCATAGTAATAAGAGACACTATAGGGTCTATTCACTAAGCTGCCGTAGGTAGCCGAATGAATGACCAACCTGAAGTGAGTCGAACACTGTTTGGCTATACACTTCTGGCTGGTACGGCTGAGTTCAGCGGCTCCCGAACGTGGCCGGACGCTCGGCCATGTTCGGGAGCTGTACGGGCTATAGTGAATAGCCCGTACAGCACCCCTTCAGTTCTACTGAACCGAAGGGGTCCTGGGGCCGAAGCTAGCCAAAGGTTTGGCCGAAGCTACGGCTAGATCCTTCGGCAGCTTCGTGAATAGACCCCTATGTGACACTTCTGGAGAACACTGGAGGGAATGAGCAGATGACTGTAACCATTGCCACTACCGGGATCCTTCCAGTGTTCTCTAGAATTGTTACATTGTATCTCTTGTTACCAATATGTATATATTTCTTACGATCCTCAGAGGCCATAATGTGGTATTTTCCTCATTTCCCAATTCATTCTATAAATTAACCCATTTTAATCACTGCAGGTAAATTTTGAAGACCATTCAACCAGAAGAGAAATTTGAAACATTCAATTTTGCCCCGACCTCACAACAGCAGCCAATCAGCTACTCTGTCTCATCTTCAAATCTTACCTGGGCAAACTAAAGAGAAATGCTGATTGGTTGCCATTGGCAACTGTTCCACATTTCTGTTTAGCTCCAACTAGTTCCTAAGTGGTGGGATCTATTTATAAAAAAAAATTGCATAGCTTTTCATCCTGGGAAACAGCATGCACATTTATTCTGTGTGAATTAACCAGCATTCACTTATTAGAATGAGGGAATTTTGAACAAAGTTGTGGCTGTTGTATGAATGGGGCAAAAGCAAATCTTCATAAGGTATTTTCTTTCCTGGTCCAATGATCTTAGACTATTGTTTTAGGCAATTTTTTTCTTTCGGTGGTCTGTTCTTAAACTATTGGTTTCAGCTGTTTTCTCTATTACTCAAATGTTCTCAGGCTATTGTTTTAGGCTGTTTTCTCTTAGGATTAAATGTTCTTGGAGTATTAGGGAATGTTACTTTCACCCTGCGAAAGACAAACTAACAGGGCTATTCGCAAAAGGGGTGTAGAGTTTGGAGAAGGCCGGAGAAGTGAACAACCTAGGCCAAAATAGCTGATTTGGAAGAAGTCTCCAATTCACTTCACTTTCCAGATCAGCTATGTTGTCCTAGATTGTTCCCTTCTCATGCCTTCTCCAAACTCTTTACCCTTTTGTGAATAGCCCTGTAAATATCAGAAAATAAAATTTTGTGACTTTTGAGCGAATACTGATACATTCATACAGTGAAGATTTAATAATGGGGTGCTTTGGAGTCTCTGGTCTGCGAAAGTCAGAGGTTCAGTGAGAGAACCTGATAGTTTTAGTTGTGCCCCGGCCTTGGTCCAATCAACCGAACTTTACATTACCTCATCAAAATATGGGTTGTTTCCTTTCCGTATCCGGGTCCTCTTAGTCTGCCCGGCAACTGTCACCTTGATGACAGGTTTGATGTTCAAACCTATAATCTGGCGTCCTTCGATCACTCGAACCCGAACCTGAAGGAGAATCATAGAACATGTTGGTAATTTGGACTAACTCATTGATAAATTCAAGCCGCTATGGATGCTATTCTACACGGGATGTCAGTGTATTACCAATGCATTCTGAAGACAATGAAGGAAATTTATCAAAACTGGAGCAGACATATTCTGGAGCAGCTGTGCGTGGCAACCAATCAGCTTCTCTCTCATTTTCAAATCCTAACTGAACAAACTGAAGAGAGAAGCTGATGGGTTGCCATGGGCAACTGCTCCAGATTTTGTCTGCTCCAGTTTTGATAAATTCCCCTCATGTTCCTTAAACCATTCTTGAACCATTTTTGCAGAGTGGCAGGGCACATTATCCGGCTGGAAGAGGTCACTGCCATCAGGGAATACGGTTTCCATGAAGGGGTGTACTTGGTCAGTAACAATGTTTCAGTAGGTGGTACTTGTCAAGTAACAAAGTAACATCATCATGAATGGCAGGACCCAAGATTTCCCAGTAGAATATTGACCAAAGCATCACACTGCCTCCACCGGCTTCCCTTCTTCCCATAGTGCATCCTTATGCTATCTCTTCCCCAGGTAAATGACACACATGCATCCGGCCATCCACATGATGTAAAAGAAAACACAATTTATCAGACCTTTGTAGGCACTTTTTTCAATGGACACAAGTCAGCATGGGCACCCTGACTGGTCTCTGGCTATACATACCCATACACAACAAACTGCAATGCTCTGTGTGTGTGTCTGGTCGGAACCCGGAATAACTTTTTCAATAATTTGAGGTCTTCTATTGAATCGGACTACATGGGCCATCCTCCGCTCCCCATGTGCATCAATGAGCCTTGGCCGCCCATGACCCTGTCGCTGTTTTACCGGTCTTCCTTCCTTTGACCACTTTTGGTAGGTCCTGACCATAGGCGTGCCCACAGGGTGTGCTGGGTGTGTCTGGGCACACCCTCATCACCCCGAGCACAACACCAAAACTGCAACAGCTGCCAGGCTCCTTGCTTCATTACTGCACCCCTGCTAGAAGAGCTAAGGGACAGCTGAAGAGATGGGAATCCAGGATGCCTCAGGTCTGTGTATGAATGTATAATTTTGGCTAGCATGAGGAAGGATTTGAACTCCTGTCAGGGTTTACTGCTAGAGAGAGATTCCTTCACTTCCTGTCTGGTAAAAAGGTCAGGGCACTTCCATTTTTTTTTTAAAGTAAAAGTTTCACTAAACCCAAATAAAAATACCACATTCCCCACCATCATTTGTATTGATCTGTGTCCATTATAATAGGAACTTCGGACAGCTTATCTGAACAAAATAATAATAATCCTCTGCTCCAACTTCCTTTAGGAGGGTGGCTACATTCGCTCTACACAGCCCCACTGTACAGTATAATGTAGCCACCCTCCTTGGCAGTGGTGGACTACATGAATATACACCGATGCAGCCATATCTAGCACATAACCACAGGATAATCCGTCATTTCATCAACTTGTGGGAGCTATCAGCAGAAGTGAATTGAGGAACACATGTGCAGTAGGATTGCTGGCGCAATTATTTAATGGGTATTGTACTCTGGATAGAGCAGTGCACATGACCGCAATATATGCACACTGCTCATACTCAGTAAATGGAAATGAATGTAACAGAGCTGCAGTGCTGAGCACCAGGAGGACACAAACAATCAAAAAAAAAAAGCTATTTTATATTCTTTTCTAGTTTTCAATAAAAGAATTGCACCGCCGTGGGTCCACATATATGGGCGGCATCAAGAGGTTAAGCTGGATCATTTTGTGACACGTTTAGTAGGGATAGGCTAGAGCAGGGGTCCCCATTGGGTAGATCGTGATCTACCAGTAGCTCTCAAAGCTAATGCTGGTAGATCCCGAAGGGTGTGAATGGCGGCCCCTTTATTCCATTTTGGTATATTTACAGGTGAAACTCGAATAATTAGAATATCGTGTAAAAGTAATTGCAGTAAGTGCTGCAAAAGGGGCCCAAACCAAGTACTGAGTACATATGCATGCTTGTACTTTTCAGAGGTCCGATATTGTTCTATGTACAATCCTTGTTTTATTGATTGCATGTAATAATCTACTTTTTTGAGGTTGTGGATTTGGGGTTCTTGGGGCTTTCATGAGCTGTAAGCCATAATCATCACAATTATGACAAATCACGGCTTGAATTATCTTGCTTTGCATGTAATGAGTCTATCTCATATATTAGTTTCACCTTTTAAGTTGCATTAGTGAAATAAATTAACTTTGCACGATATTCTAATTATTCGAGTTTCACCTGTATTTAGCTGTGCACACATGATTACCTATCAGCCCGAGTCTGCTGAGCCAAGCTCCCTGACACCTTTCTGGTGGATACTGGGGGTTGAAGTGCTATGCATTACATCAAAGAATATTAGTTTACACAGCCTGTTGCACTGCACTGTTTGCAAAATACAGCAAGGTGAGCCAGGAGAGAGAGCTGGGAAAGACAGACAGGAGAGAGAGCAGGGAAAGACAGGCAGGAGACACAGCCAGGGGAGAGAGAGCGAGGAGAGACAGCCAGGAAAGAGAGTGAGGAGAGACAGCCAGGAGAGAGAGCGAGGAGAGACAGCCAGGAGAGTGAGCAAGAAGAGACAACCAGGAGAGAGAGTGAGGAAAGACAGCCAGGAGAGAGAGCAAGGAGAGACAGCCAGGAGAGAGTGTGAGGAGAGACAGTCAGGAGAGAGAGAGCGAGGGAGGTTTTTTTTTTTCGTTGGTAGATCTCATGCAGCTCGTCATTTGAAAAGTAGATCTTAACACAAAAATTGTGGGCACCCCTGCACTAAGCCAACAACATGCTACTGTGCAGACATTGTGATTTGTATAACTGTGCCATCCCTTTGCCAGTATTTTAGTTATTGGTCAATGGCTGAACATGGAAGGTGATGAAGGCTCTGTCAGGGGGACTTTTGTGATCTCTATGAGAAGTAATAACCTGGAAATGTTTCACGCCCACGTTACTTTGCATGCATTCACTTAACATTTAATAAATATTTTTTCAGTACTCGCCAATACTGAATATCGATACTGGAAGCCCAATTAAGAAAGCCAGGCAGCATGTAATGACTCGCTTTCTGATTACCCGGGAAGCTGGCTAATCAGGGAGCCCGGCAGCGAGTCATTAAATGCCGAGGGAGCATGGAGTCGGCTTCCCGGCCAATCAGGATGCCGGGGTGGGGGGGGGGTGAGTCATTACTCGCCCCCCGGCTTCCTGATTGGCCTGGAAGCTGGCTCCATGCTCCCTGGTGACGGGGATCTTAAAGCCGGCTTCACAGCCAATGAGGAAGCCGGGCAGCATGTAATGACCAGCTTTCTGATACCAGAAGTTCTGGTATTGGGATAGGCATCGGGAGAATTTGGGCGAGTACAAGTACTCTCCCAAATACTCGGTATCGGCACGGATACCGATACTAGTATCGGTGCATCCCTACTGTAAATATAATGCTAGGTCTGCTTTAACCCCCACCCTTACCTTCAACCTAAATCTTCACCCTCAATTCAAACCCTAACCTGTAATCCCTAATCCCAACAACCACAACCCCCACTACTTTTGCACTTCAAAATTCCTGCCATAATATATCAATGACAAAACTGCTGTTGTTATCAAATGCAAAAAGTACCCAGTGCTGGCCTGCAGTCAACATCTGTTCCAAATACTGTGGAACAAATGACCTATGGTCCTAGATTAAGTACTCCCACCCTTATGGTAACTAGAGAATACAGCAAAAATATAGCAGGACTTTAGAGGTGCACACATTAATCCATATTAAATGGATATGTATCTTCCACATACAACTGATCTGTCAGTCTTCGCTCACCTGGAAGTCCTGAGGTTTGTTGGACAGCACCCTCTGAGGGGCGCTCTTCTTCCTCTTGACTCCCTGGATTTGGTATTGTTGGGGTTTCTTGGGAAGAGTCGGCTGCTCGGCTCCGGGCAGAAGTGACACTGTATCCCCTTCATCTCCAGTGCCCATTTGATCTTCTGTGTCCTCTTCCCCTGTTATGTCTGCACAGGAAACACAAGTATAGTACAGTAAGTCACAAACTGCAATACAGCGGCCATTTTATCCGCAGACAATAACAAAGCGCTGCGCAAATGAAGCAACATCTACTAAAAATGGTATTTATAATCAAAGACCATTTCTGCTGTTCTAGCGGGTCACAAGAGTTGCAATTGCAACCCGAGGCCTACATCATCCAGACTTTTGAAGGGGCTCAAGCAACAACCTCAAAGTTTTAGTAGACCATTGATGATGTCACAGATGAAGTATACAGCTAAGAAATTTTTTATTCCTGATGTTGTAGCTGCCTAGGTGGCTTTCTGTAAAATAGAAAGACACTGCACACCCCATACCAATCATGAGGGAATGCCAATAATACCCTCCAGATTCTGGAATATTGACAATTTTGAATATACGTTCTCAGAAGACGAGGCAAGTTTCTTATTTCTTAAACAATACTATTAAAACAGTTTCAGATTCCGACATCAGACAACACCAATGAACACCATTGTTTACATACTCTTGCACATTTGCATATGCATGTGTGTGTGTGTGACGGGTGTTCTTTTAATTCTTTTTAGTTCATTTTAGTTATTTTTATCACAATTTAAATTGGTGACACTTTTTTTTTTTCCGACTCAACTTTATTGCTATGGGAAGAGGGATAACAAGACCCCTATGTGATAGCACTGGACTGGTGACATGCACCCTTATTAAGACATCAGGGGTCTGTTAGACTTCTAATATCTCCCCTGCCCTCTGCTCCAGCTGATCAAGCATAGATTGCACTCAATCTGCTATTTATCCAGCTTTTCAGCTGGGGTTTTCAACTGCTCTGTATACGGAAATGCTCAGAGCTGAATGGTTCCAGATACAGACACTGCAGGGGACATTGGCGAACAGATGTTCCTTAATGTCCTCCCGCTCGGCATCTTGACTGTGCATGTTGTAGTCCTGGGCACCCAGGAGTAGCAGAAGAGCTTAGAGGCCCCGGAGCAGCTAGAGCCACCCAGATCACTCTTACAGTAAGCCCTCATTCACATTGTAATCGGCCCGCACGTACAGCTCCGTGCTGCATGCATGGTCGTATCAGGGAAGCTCCCGGAAAAGACATGTGCTGCGTGTGATTAGTATGCAGCCCCCGTCCTTCTCTATGGGACTACGCGGCCATACGCCCCCCATAAGCTCACCCACCCTCATCCGTGCGGGTGAGCGTACTCGTACGCTGACAGGATGGATCATGTCTGCGTCCGAGCGAGGAAGCGCGCACCCCTACGGACCTGTATTTGAGGTGAGCGTAGGGGGGCATACGGTCTCATAGTCTCATAGAGAAGGATGGGGGCTGCGTACTAATCACACGCAGCACCTGTCCTTCCCGGGAGCTGCTCGGTAGGGCCCTGAATGAGGGGCTAAAGCTCTGACCCAGCTAAACATAACTGAAGAAAAGTCCACAGCTGCAGATGTAGCAGCAAGCTTGTTTTAACTCCTTGAAGCCTGGGCATACCAGATATGTACAAAGGGGTTAAAAATGTAAATAATTCTAAATAAGTATTTATATCAGTGATGCACCGATACCCATACCAGTATCGGTGCCAATACTGAGCATTTGTACGAGTACTCGTATTCATGTGAATGCTTAGATACCAAAAATCGATACCGGTGCTTGCTGGTGACCTCTCAGCAGCCTTCTTGGGAATCACGTTGCGCCTATTTACAGCGCTTCCACTGGCCCACACATCTCCCCCTCTTGAGACCCTCCACACATCTCCCCCTCCTGGGACCCTCTGCACATCTCCCCCTCCTTAGACTCTCCACACATCTCCCCCTCCTGGGACCCTCTGCACATCTCCCCCTCCTTAGACCCTCTGCACGTCTCCCCCTCCTGAGGCCTTGTGCACATATCCCCCTCCTGAGACCCTCTGCACATCCCCCCCTCCTGAGACCCTCCACGCATCTCCCCCTCCTGAGACCCTCTGCACATCTCCCCCTCCTGGGACCCTCTGCACATCTCCCCCTTCTTAGACCCTCCACACATCTCCCCCCTCCTGAGACCCTCTGCACGTCTCCCCCTCCTGAGGCCTTGTGCACATATCCCCCTCCTGAGACCCTCTGCCCGAGACATCAGGCTACCTCCACAGAGCGGCAGCACAGACTATATACAGGTATGGTGCAGCAAAATTGCACCTGTACTCCAAAGCTACTTCAAAAATACTGCCTGATGTTTCTGTCCTGTGCTTTATTCTGCATTGCTGTATAATGTATTGCTGGGAATTGTACTTTATAGCTCTGATACCAAAAACTGATATCTGCGCTTACATTTTGTACATTGAAGCAGCTGCCTTAGGTCCTGCACTTGCTGGGGACATTGCGGCAGCCTTCTTGGGAACTGTGGGACCGATTCCCTTCATTCATCCTCCTAGGAAGTATCTCTAGGCCTGGTTCACACCTGGGCGTTTTGTAGCGCGTTCCTACGCTCTGCAAAACGCTCAAACACCGAAATCCCATTATTTCCTATGGGTATGGTTCACACTTAGGCGTATTACAGGCCGTATGAACGCGCTACAAAACGCCCTACGCCCAAAGAAGTACAGGAGCTTCTTTGGGGCATTTTTGTCGTGCGTTTCCATTGGGATACAGCCAAGTAGCCCTCGGAAACGCGCGTTTGTCACATGTTTTTTTTACAGCGAATCGCTGTAAAAACGCGCGTCACGAAATGCGCATATTCGATACGCCTAGGTGTGAACCCAGCCTAAACATCAATAATCCCGGAGACAGATGCAGCAGTATGACATCACAGAGACTGATCTGCCTGATAACAGAGACCAATACACTGCACTCAGATCCGCATAGCAAATTCAAGCGCAGTATGAAACATCTCTGCTTCCAGAAACTCTAACATTTACCCTTGTAAGGGGTATTTGTGTTTCTTTTGTCATTTTTTTATTGGTCATTTATTGATCAAATAAATAATTCCCCCCACTTGTTGCTTTTACATGACTAGAATGTTACATTCTGTGGTCATGAGAACATGAACCTTCTATGGCAGCTCTGTCCAGGCAGTTATAATAAGCTCTGCCTGTAAAATCTTTACATCCCTGTACAGCCAGTTGCTGCTCCCGTCAATGCCCGTGCTATATAGCTGCTTTATCTATTGAAGACCGAGACTCCGATCTTCTGAGCCTGCAGGCACTGCTCTTCAGATAGCCTTGCTTCATGAAACATGCCTGACCTGTGTCTGAATTCTGATTATCCTTAAAGTGTATGTAAACGCTGATCTTATTTTTACTCCTTTTGGTCTGTTAAATATACTACTGAAAGTGTTTTGTTATATCTTCACAATATGTGCAAATAAATCTGTTGACCCTGCTAGAAATCCAGCGAGTTCTGCAGCGAGATTCTCTCCTAGGGTAACCGCCATGTGCTGCCCCTCCCCATCAATCCCCCAACCAATACCAACACTTGCAATATTATAACTCTCGTTTTAGATTGCCTTGCTAGTGTCCTAATGACATTTCCCTTCACTTCCTGTCCTGAAGCCACAACAGGAAGTTGAAAAGGAAGTGGTGAAATCCCCTCTTAGTCCTGATGCGGTGACAACTGTAAATATTGAATCTTCCACCACTTCCTGTCACGGCAAAAATGGTCACGGGAACAAACAAAGAGGGTTGTTCTTAGCAGGCATGGTGCAGACAGCAATAAAAACCTGAAATAGAGAGCATGGGGCACTGCTCAGAGCTTCCGGCCTCCATGGTGAGCTCTGCAGTGATAAATGACGGTTACTAGGCAACGACCCTCAGCACCCGTCAACAAGAGAACAGGCCGAGGGCCCTCCTACTTCTGATCAGTGAGCACGATATAACCAACTGTTGTTGCCAGGAAGCTAAAAACAACTTTTATTGTTCCAGCACAACAGAGAACACTCTGCCCAGCTCCTCCCCTTATGCATTTTGAACCCCTACTGGGGCTTCATGGTAAAATCTGGCCAGTGGGGCTCATCCAAAAACGTTAAAACAGAATACTGTATATAAACACTGGAACATATAAACCGGGCATTATTGTGGTTTATATATGGCGGATAGAAAACTCTAATGAGCTAATATGTAATAAAATAAAATATTAACAGAGAGATAAGAAGTGCACTACAGATTTTAAGTATCTTGGTGGAAATGTCCCCCTTAACTGGACCAAAATACGGATGTGATGCTGAGCCATGAATCCCTCCCCTTATCACACACACATCGGTTGCTAGGACGTTGGCGATGCTTGCATCCTAGCAACCAATGAGGCTTGGCGTCCCTGGCCTGTGCCCTAGCAATTGATGGTGCTCTGCAGGCCACAATATCATTGGTCGCTGGGATACAGGCGGCTGCAAAGCATCCTTGATTGCTAGGACAGAAGCTGACACACGTAACCTAGCAACCAATTGCTCGGCTTGGTTCAAATTGTAAACAAGGGGAAATGTAATTTGTGTTTAGCGAGCCAAAATGGCACTTTTGGCATAATGCTGAAAGTGCCATGTTCTGGCTGATACAGCGGTGCATCCATTCTTTCTCTCCTCCCCGCTGGGCGCTGCTGTGTGTCCCAGCGGGGAGGAGAGAAACTGTCACAGGTGGCCGAGCGCTGTGGGAGGAGAGCACTGTGAGCGGCCGCGTCTCTCCTCCCCGCACCACTCAACCTCCTGTCACAGATCAGAGGAGAGCGGTGTGGGCGGAGACAGCTGTCATTGCTGTCACAGGAGGCTGAGCTCTCCTCCCGCACCGCTCGCTCAGACTCCTGTGACAGCCTAAACTCTACATCATAACCTAGATTTTAAATAAAAAATTGTGCGCCTTTCAGGATAAAGCATTACAGCCATGTTACTAATGGTGGAGCAGCATTGTCACCCTAGGACAGGACTACAGGACACCTCCCCTTCTCCTCTTCTCTATGACATAGGGAGAAATCGTGTGTTAGTGCACACAGAGGTTGCCGTGCGGCCCTATTGATTTCACTGGGGTTACATCTGCGTGGCAATCGCTAAAAAAAGGTACAAGTACCTTTTTTGCGACACACGATGTGCGGCTTCTTTAACCACGATCATGTCGAATAGCACAGGCGGATTGCCAGGCTGCCACGAATCGCCCACCACAGCCGGTTGCGCTGGCGGTGCCATTATTTTGTAATGTCCCCTTAGTTGCCCCGGGCGGATTGCACGGTTTCCCGCCACAACTAGGGTGCCATTAGAAAATAATGGCACCACCAGCGCAATCGGCTGTGTTGCGCGACTCCGTGACCGCTCAGCAATCCTCACAGTTTTTTGCATGATTGCTGCGTGGTCACAGATCGCCTAGGTGTGAACCTGGCTTGATGTGCTTGGTCAGCTTCAATGGGCTACACAGGTGACATTAGGGGCCCTCAGGCATTGTTGCGTATGCCAGAGTCAGAGCAATAATTCTGGGGCCAATATTCATGTTTCAAGGAGAACTATGGGGTTAGGGCTCGCACTATACTGAGCTTAGGGTGACAGGAGGACGCCCTAAGCTTGTATACTGAGACGCCGGAGCTGAAACGGATCCCGACAATTATGTCTGGAAACGCCCAGCTGCGTGAGTGACAGCTGGCTCTGCCTATTTAGAGGCAGAACCAGCTGTACCCGCCCTCTTCCCCGTCCGTTCCGCCAGTCAGCGCTGGAGGATCGGAGCGAGGAGGAGGGAATCCAGTCCCTCCGCTGTCACGGCTCTGTGCCGTGACAGGATCGAGAAGTGAGCGAACGCCGGTATGTGTGCGCTCACATCCCAATCTACTGAGCCGACCTGTGACCTGTTTCATTGCCACAGGTCGGCTAGAACTATGAGGATGAGTGTAAAGCACTCACCTCATAGTTCTCCTTTAACGCTAAACTGATGACCTGTACAGGCTTTTAAAGCGTCACTGATGGACAATCCGTTGTAGCGTAGTTTTTCACCATTTCATGGGCACACACAATTTTTAAGCTTGGCATGTTGGGTATTTATTTAATCGGCTCACCTTCATCTTTTACTTTTTGTTAAAAAATGTGTTTTCTAATAGCTAATGGGATCGTATCAACCATTATATCCGACTATAGTGACAAGAAAAAAATGGAAGGAGCAAGATGGAAACCTTTTTTCAAATGAACGAATCAATGAATGTGGTTTTCATACGGGGAAGCTTCATTCAGTTTTTAGGAATTAATATTAAAATGAAACAGGATTTTAAACAACATTCTACAAGGCATTATTGTCAAATGTTCTCACAAGTTTTACTCCTCCTCCAAAGAAACAACTAGAAAGCTAAGAATTATTATTTTTAAATGATTTTAGGTTCGCAGTGTGAGCGGGAACACATTACAAACATTTGCGCTCCATTAACTGCTTGAAGACCAGGTTTTTACACCCCCTTCCTGTCCAGGCCATTTTTCAGTATTCAGCGCTGCGGTACTTTGGCTGACGTTTATTCCGTCATGCAACGCTGTACTGAAATTCATTTTATACCATTTTTTGGGGACAGATAGAGCTTTCTTTTGGTGGTATTTAATCACCACTGCGGTATGATTTTACTATAATTAGGAAAAATACTGAAAGTTTTGGGGAAATTTTTTTTTTTTTTTTACATAATGTTAGGAAACATTTATTATTACCCAGTTTTTTGGTAAAATATAAAAGTCGGGGTCACGTCGGGCAAATAGATACCCAAAATTGGCCATAGGCGACACTTTAAAAGCTTTTACCGCTCATCAGTTTAGTGTTATCAGTGATTGATGGCCCTAGAATTATTGCTTGTCGTTTTTGCACGTATGCGCATGTTTGCATGCGTGTATGAATGGGAGGGGACTTGTAAAAAAATGTTTGTGTTTTTATTCTTTTTTATGTGTAATTTTGGGGGGGGGGAACTTTATTTTATTTTTTTCCTATTTTTTTTTCCACTAAACTTTATTGCTATCACATAGGGAGCTAATAAATGACATGCCCTTGCCGCGTTCTTGCAGCGGAGAGGGGACCAGAGGGAGCTCGTGTACCGATCTCCCTCTGATCATCGCTGCCTGTTTTTAAATATTGGGCATTTCCCGCTCGCGCGAGGGGGTGTGTCTGAGCGGACGTCTAAAGACGCCCGCTCAGATCTAGAGAGCTCCCGGTAGTTAATAAACAATTCACAGAGACATTCACATTGCAAATCCCTGAGAACGTTCATTCTGTGAATAGAGGCCAGTCCACCCTTGTGTGTGCTAGTGAGCTCTGTGTGTTTCCACAAATACACAGACACAGCAAGGCAATCCAATCAACTTCCTTCTGCTCCCTGATCCCCCCCTCCTCCTAGATGGATGACTGCTGAAGACTGCTCTGTCCCTTGTGATCTTGTACTGGACAGGACGTTCAGGGCTGCCGGGCTGAGAGAGTTGGAGCTGTTTAGAAACATGATAACTGTAAAATGTAAGGAAATACTTTGCCAGGCAATGTACATTTGTTTGATCTGGATTCATTATTTAAAAAAGTTTGAGGGTTTAATACTTCTTCAGCTGAACAAGCTGACGACAGACTCTGATTGGTTACACATTTGAACAGCAGCTCCAGATTCTGTCTGATCCAGTTTTAGTAAATTCCCCCATAATGTATTAATAAATACAATTAGCTAAGTACCAAAACTTGTCAACCTCCTGCGATCCCCTGCACAACGGCACAAAGACCGGCAGAGGATGGTAAGCCATGTCAGCCAATCAGGCTCCGCTGCAGGGCACATGTGTTGACAGGAGTAGAATGATGACCTTATCAACGTCATGTTCTTTCACTGTCCAATCAGCAAACTGGGGGTGTGTTCTCGACTGAGCTATGTTGCGGTGGAGGTTGATGGACTAGCAGGTGTGCCTGGATCACAAGACTGCCTGAACACAGTTATAAAACCACTGTCAGCTAAAAGAGTTCAGATCTCAGCTTTGGATTTAGCGAGTTGTGTAGAAGTGTGATTCCAGGCCACCTTTTTTATGTTAGCTTTGGAGGACCTAACGTAAGTTCCTTCAGGAGGGAGGAAAGGTTTGAACTCCTCTCCCGTCTGAAGATATCTCATCTTAGTTTGTATTGGGACCGCTCCTCATTTCTGATCATGTGATCTCTGTGATTTACGCTCTGTGCTGTCCTCTAAGCCAGTGGTCGCCAACCGGTGGTCCGAGAGAAAATTTACCTCCTGCACGACCTCTGATGTCGTGCAGGCTGGGCCATCATTGAAGCGGCACGGAGGCTCCGGGGCTGCCTCTCACTGACTCAAGCAGCGGCTGTCACAAGGAATGCGCGGCTCTCAGTACAGTGCGGGCTCTGCAGGAGGCGGGGCATCTCGTCAGTACCCGGACTCAGCAGGCTGCGGGACACGGACGAAGTGGGGAGAAGCCCGGTAATAGTGGCTCAGTTTGAGGGAAGGGGAGGCACAGGGGTCGTTGGGGGCAGTGCTGAAGCTAGGGCGGGCGCCGCCGGCAGGGCCAGTGGCAGATTCAATAGGGGGGAAACAATTAATATTATCACTGGGCCAGGGCGGGTGGCACCGCTCCCTCCTTCCACCAGCACTGCCACATCTCATATGTAAATATATTGTCATATGTGTGTGTGTGTGTGTGTGTGTGTGTGTGTGTGTCTGTGTGTCTGTGTGTCTGTGTGTGAGAATATACTTATATATTATGTAACAAAACAAAAAAATGAGAATATATATATATTTTTAAAAAATTCGTATTAGTGGTCCGCAGGATTTAAAATTATGACTTGAGTGGTCCATGAGGTCCGAAAAGTTGGCGACCGCTGGTCTATGCGATCCAGAGATCTAACATCAAATGCCAATTACATGCCATACTCCCAGAGGGCTTACCGGTGACAGTGTCCACCGTACTGAAAGACACCATGGATGGTGTGGGCTCCTTCGGCGCAAGCTGTGGGAGAGTCAAGGGTGGCGCGGCCCCCACAGGAGGGAAGTACGAAATCTGAAGGGTCAGCGTTGCCTGTGACAAAACAAAATAAAGTCTTAATATATTACTGGCGGTAATTTTATTTCTCTTAGAAAGTTTTTTTTAATCATAAACCTGACTGTGAACAATCTAGAGGAAAATGGTATCAACTAGGGATGTCCCGATGCCACTTTTTTAAGTCCAAGTACAAATACTTTCCCTCAGGTACTTGCCGATACCAATTACCGATACTTTTTCCTAAAGGGACATTTTTTCTAAAACAATACAGACTAATGACTTTAGGACAGTTTCTCACCAAGGCTAAATGCAGATGTCACCAGAGCAGAATACATGTCACCAGAACTGAATACATGTCCCTAGAGCAGAATACATGTCACCTAAGCAGAATACATATCACCAGGCTGCGTGCCAACCTCACCCGGACGACATATAGATCTCTGCAGGGCTCTGCGGGCAGTGCCTATGCTGTGGAGAGTGCCGGTGTCCGGGACTGTACTGTGCTGTTTGGGGCTGTCCATGGCTGTGCCTGCGCAGGGAAGGAGGAGATATAGAACCAGACAGGCACTGTCATGGACAGCTACTTGCAGGTCCCCAGCAGGCTAGCGAAGTCCCCACAAGCACGGGAACTCGGAGAGCCACTGCGGTTCAAAAATTTAAAGGGACGGAATCGGCCTTAAGAATCGGGGCATTTTCACGAGTACAAGTACTCGTGAAAATGCCTGATATGGGCCCAGATACCGATACTAGTATCGGCATCGGGACATCCCTAGTATCAACATATAGGCAGCTACAAACAAGTATGGTAAAGGAAGGACACTGAGGGGAATTTATCAAAACTGGAGCAGACAAAATGGAGCTGTGCATGGCAACCAATCAGCTTCTCTCTTCAGTTTGTTCAGTTAAACTTTAAAAATGAAACAGAGAAGCTGATTGGTTGCCATGCACAGTTGCTCCAGATTTTGTCTGCTCCAGTTTTGATAAATTCCCCTTTATGTATGTAAGTGTGAAACGGCTAAAATTTGACTACACCCAAAACCTGTTTCTGGTTCTGGATAGGGCAGGGAAGGGTTAAGCTCCCCATACAGATTACAATCTTACTATACAATCTCTGTACAATAAACTATGAAGATCGGCCTAAACTATCCAATCATCTTGTTTCCAGTCAGGTAGAACATTGATCTAGATGCTGGTTGGTACATCGGAAGGAGTTTGTATAGATTGTATAGATTGGAAGGAGTCTGTATAGATTGTATAGATTGGAAGGAGTTTGTATAGATTGGAAGGAGTCTGTATAGATTGTATAGATTGGAAGGAGTCTGTATAGATTGGAAGGAGTCTGTATAGATTGGAAGGAGTCTGTATAGATTGTATAGATTGGAAGGAGTCTGTATAGATTGGAAGGAGTCTGTATAGATTGGAAGGAGTTTGTAGAGATTGGAAGGAGTCTGTATAGATTGTATAGATTGGAAGGAGTCTGTATAGATTGTATAGATTGGAAGGAGTCTGTATAGATTGTATAGATTGGAAGGAGTCTGTATAGATTGTATAGATTGGAAGGAGTTTGTAGAGATTGGAAGGAGTCTGTATAGATTGTATAGATTGGAAGGAGTCTGTATAGATTGTATAGATTGGAAGGAGTCTGTATAGATTGTATAGATTGGAAGGAGTCTGTATAGATTGTATAGATTGGAAGGAGTCTGTATAGATTGGAAGGAGTCTGTATAGATTGGAAGGAGTCTGTATAGATTGGAAGGAGTCTGTATAGATTGGAAGGAGTCTGTAAAGATTGTATAGATTAGAAGGAGTCTGTATAGATTGTCACCAAGAAAGAAAGTGACGGGAAACCCAAAATGTTCATATTCTCATCTGAACGTCACTAAAAGGACATCTTCTATTGGGGACATCTCTTCTGGTTACAGAATGATATTTTTAGGGATATCCACCTACTTCCTGTTGTCCCTCTGGACAGGAAGTGCTGGGACATCTCCCTGATAGGGACAAGTACAGCAGTAAAAACCTAACAGACCATAGTCACCAAGTGAGGGTAAACCCAAAAGGTTTACTCATTGGAACATGACTAAAAGGATATCTTCCATTGGGAGCATCTCTTTGGGTTACAGAATGTATATAGAATAGCGATATTCACCTACTTCCTGTTGTCTCTATGGATGGGAAGTGCTGGGAAATCTCCCTGATAGGGACATAGACAGTACTAAAAGTCCAACAGACCTTAGTCACCAAGGAAGGATAAACCCAAAATGTCCATCTTCTCATAGGAACAGAACTAGAAGGATTTCTCTAGTTGGGGACATCTATTCTGGTTAGAAAATTGATATTTTTAGGGATATCCACCTACTTCCTGTTGTACCTTTGTACTGGAAGTGCTGGGAAATCTCCCTAGTAGGGACATGAACAGCAGTGCAGGGATTCTAACCCTTCCCAAATGAAAGAAAGTGTTGGCTGGAGTTACACTTTAAGTGTGCAAGCATTAGAGAACATCTCTGTGCCTCTAATTTGTGCAGTTATGGTCATGAGCCTAATGCTGGCCCTAAACTGCTTGAATTTTTTGACTCAGCAGGAGCAGTGTATGACTGAGTCCTGCACATTCATATATACAGTGTTTGGCCCTGTTGGCACCCCACTATTCGTCAAAAGTCCATTTTTTTATTGACTTTTAGCTTAAGAGCCAGTCCACAAATCTCAGCTGAACAGTGACTGCAGGGCGCAGTGATGTCATTGACCTTGTATGGCCACATGACCTTATTTTGGTGACATTGACCCAATAGGACCATGTGGCCACTTTGGTGTTCAGAGGAGCTCATGAGTGGACTGGGATCAGCACGAACCCGAGTTCATCCTCAGTGAAGAGATTGAGCTATTCAGGGCTGTCCCTAAGGTATTAATTGCCTGAGGTGATGTTGTTCTGGGGAAGTGGCGGCGCTGGACCGCGTCCCACCCAGCTCACTGACATCTCCAGGAGCTTGGCTGGATGCAAACCAGAGCATCCCACCCAGCTCCTGGCAACCAGTGACGTCATTGAGCTGGGCAGGAAGCCGCACAGAGCATTACTGGTTGCTAAGAACTTTTAGCAACCTGGGACGCTGTGGCCACCCCCTGCTGCCACCACCTGGCCACCCCCCTAATTAGAAGCCACCAGAGGCAACTTTCTCAATATAGGGATGGCCCTGAAGCTATTGTTTGACTTGACTGGGGAAGATGGTTGATTTAAGTGACTATGACTGTGGATTAACTGTTGGTGGCAGATGTGGCGTTTTCAGCATTTCAAAAACTTCTAACCTCTTGAAAGTTCAATACCCTCAGACTATCTCAGCAGCTCACCGTTAGTTAAAGGTGCATGTATGGATAAACTATTCTGACCTCACCAAGACACATCGCTTGCCTCATCTGTGAAGAGGAAATAGGAAGTCTCCCGGCGGCTTGTTGTATACACTGTGAAAACATCTAAATATACACCTATTGCTGTGTTATTGTCTCAGCGATGGAATTACAGCCTCTCAGCTACTCTAAATATAGAAATATGGGACACTCCTGAACACGAACCTGAACTATATTTTGTAGTGTTAATAATGTAGCTTCCTGGTGCCCAACCCACCGCCCCAGTGCTGCATGAGGCCCTTTGGTGCTCATTGTATGCTTCCCATGCACTTTTTAATCAATACAGTCCTCAGCATGACACACTATCTGGGCAATGTGCTATCAGTCATTTTGTGGGCAGCATTGACATTGTGGATGAGTGCAGTGGTGATACAGTTTCCTACAGCAGCCATGTCATAGCGAGAGGAGGAAGTTCATGGGAAGGGGTTGTGGACATCATGCCAATGTGACTCATGGATGTGGTATTGCGTGACACTTCATCTGTGCTATGGACTACAGCTCTGGGGGATGGAGGGTTTAGTGCATGCCTGATGTACTGTATTTGAGCTTATTAGACAGACTTTAAAAAAGGGAGCAAATAAGAGAAGTTCATTGTTAAGATGATCATACACGGCTCACATTTTGGCAAATTCCAGCTCAATTGGCTGAAATTTGAATCATAGGTGGGATCCGTTGGCACCACCCAGTTCAACATTCATGGACTTCATGGAAATCTATATATTTGTGTACAACAGTTTGAACTCAGAGTTTGAAAAAGACAGCACAAAAGCTACGCTCACTGCTAAGTTGGCTACACGAGACTCAAATTTTATCCAGTCAAGCAAAATCTAAGCCGTGGGTGGCCCTGTTGGCAGTGCCCAGCTCAACTAACATCAATTGGAAAATTAAGATAGCTGGGAAGAAAATTATCAGCTGAACAGCGACTGCATCCTATCATATGCAGCCCCTGTTCAGGTATTCAGACTTATATCATTGTTTTTTAGCTTTATTTATTGTTCGTTGCTTAGGAATCTGTCGGATTTCTCTTCTCCAACCCATGGGCTGAACGAGAGAGGTCTATGCATGTATGGCTAGCCTTCGGGTTTACATACACTAATATAGTAATAAGGGTGAATACCATACAATGTGTACAATATAGCAAGAGATATGACTTCCAGTATATGCAAAATGTCTTCACTTTAAATATAAATGAACGCTGAAGTTTACATAGTAACAATATAGAGTCACTCAAGTCCTGCCGAAGAATCTGCTGACTAGCGCAAACATCACATTCCATGGCTAGAAATGGAAACACAACACACGTTTGGCAGAGAGTCTTCCCAGCTGCCTGGTCTCTCTGTGATAGATATATACTGTATATATATTCTCACCGGCCACTTTATTAGGTACACCTTGCTAGTACCGGGTTGGACCCCCTTTTGCCTTCAGGACTGCCTTCATTCTTCATGGCATAGATTCAAAAAGGTGATGGAAACATTCCTCAGAGATTTTGGTCCATATTGACATGATAACATCACGGGCCCAAAGTGTGCCAAGAAAATATCCCCCCCACCATTACACCACCACCAGCCTGAACCGTTGATACAAGGCAGCATGGACCCATGCTTTCATGTTATTTACACCAAATTCTGACCCGACCATCTGAATGTTGCAGCTGAAATGGAGACTCATCAGAGCAGGCAACATTTTTCCAATCTTCTATTGGCCAATTTTGGTGAGCCTGTGTGAATTGTAGCCTCCGTTTCCTGTTCTTAGCTGACAGGAGTGGCACCCGGAGTGGTCTTCTGCTGCTGTAGCCCATCTGATTCAAGGTTTCAATGTGTTGTGCGTTCAGAGAAGGTATTCTGCAGACCTCGGATGTAGCGAGTGGTTATTTGAGTTACTGTTGCCTTTCTATCATCTCAAACCAGTCTACCCATTCTCCTCTGACCTCTGACATTGACAAGGTATTTTCATCCACACAACTGCCGCTCACTGGATATTTTCTCTTTTTCGGACCATTCTCTGTAAACCCGAGAGATGGTTCTATGTGAAAATCCCAGTAGATCAGCAGTATCTGAAATACTCAGACCAGCCTGTCTGGCACCAACAACGATGCCACGTTCAAGATCACTTAAATCCCTTTTCTTCCCCATTCTGATGCTCGGTTTGAACTTCAGCAAGTTGTCTTTACCATATCTAGATGCCTAAATGCATTGAGTTGCTGCCATGTGATTGGCTGATTAACAATTTGTGTTACCAAGCAAATGAACGGGTGTAATAAAGTGGCCAGTAAGTGAGTGTCTGTGTGTGTGTGTGTATATACACTGAGTGGCCAGATGATTATGACCACCCCATCAGTACTTTGTTGGGCCGCCTCGTGACTCCACGAGATGTTTGGACCTCCCAACTACCTGAGATGGGAAAGAAGGACACCTATTAGGGGAAAATGTTTAGAAAAGAGAGGCATCCTTGCCTTATGTCTGGCCGTGTAGACCATGAAGTTTGTGGTCTACATGGCCTACACAGTATGAGAGCATTATAAATATTTGAAAATGTGAAATAACGCAATTTCTTATACAGACCTTTTTATCAGATGTACAAGGGGGGCATCTGTAGTGGAAGAAGGGACAGTGAAACTTGGTTTTAAAAATGGAGACTCTTACTTCAAAAGCAGACACAGATCAGCCCCTGCTACAGCCTCTCACCTTTATGACTTTCTATAAAGTTATAGTGTTGCTGCCTGATTACTGGGGTAGAGGAGACTGAGGAAATGCTTCGTCCTGCCTGCAGAAGACTAACTGCATCGTCTCAGCCTCGGCAAAGTCAACAATTCTTGGAAGATAGTACCACCACAAAAGTCTTGTTTGTCCTTAAATAATATATGTACTCTATGACTTCTGTATCAAAGGTGATAGCAAAGACAGAGAAGTGTTCAGTTGCTCAGCTACTGCTGAGTTAACAAACCACTGCTGAACGCTGTGCTGCAACTCAGACCTTAATACATCTTTTTTACATTTATTTTATTTAATTTATCTTTTTTTAAACTTTTTTTTTTTTTTACTTAATTGCTATCACATAGAGGGGATCACAAGCCCCCTATGTGATAGCATACTGGTGGTCACGGATTCTCTTTAGGGTGACATTAGGGGTCAGTTTGACCTCTAGTGTCACCTTTCAACTCCCAAAAAATTATTGGCGTGCATATCGCGCTCCAATAGCTTATTGCCCGGCTTCTGCAGCCAGGCAATGACAGCTGAGGGATGGAAGTGATGCAATGACAGCTGAGGGACGCAAGTGATGCAATGACAGCTGAGGGACGGAAGTGATGCAATCAGCGTCGCTTCTGGTCCCATTCAGCAAGTAGAACGGTGAACCGATGATCGCCGGTCTCCTTCCCCGCAGTTTAGCAAGGGTTATCTCTACTGATAAGTAAATTTTTCTGTAAAAAGGTGAGCTAACCCTTTAAGCTAACTCTCTAAATGCTCCAATCAGAAATGTAAAAATCCTTGCCACCTATAAAACTAACATATTGTAAACTCTGGTATATTCCTGTCTGTAGTGGCAGCAAGTGTTGCACATTTTTAGTTGTCAGATCTGCTATAGCAGACCCTGCGAATGGTGCACATTTCCATTAAAACACACGGTGGCGGCTACTGTTTGCTGTGTAAAGAGAAAACTGTGATGTTAACTGACCCCAGTGACACTTACTTTGAGTCTGCTGGTGCATAGATTGTCTTCCTGTGAACTGTAAAAAGAGAGCACAATCCTCACATTCTGGTGACAGTGGAGGGATCTGAGACTGCCACCATCACACTAGTAATTTTTGCAGCATCATTGATCACCGGGTGCTCCGGGCCCATACTGGTAGGACTGCCTAGTTTACAGCAGGTTTATAAAGTTTGTTCCTCTCTTCTACTACTCACCCCGGTACTCTGCTTCTTGTTGTCCAACAGGGGAGGATTAAAGGTGGCGGTCAGGTTGTTAGAATTAAATAAGTCCCGTAGCTGCACTCTGGTGTCACCCAGGAAACTGGAAGAGAAAATAATGAAATAAATTACTAAGCAGAAATATTAAAACCTAACTCCAGCCATTTTTTTTTAATTATTAATCTTGAATATAGTGAGAAAGAGTTAAAAATTCTGACAATTTGAATTTCTGCATGTGACCTTATTATTGAAATTGTCCCTACTTCCTGTTTCTGTGGTACCCATATAAGAAATAATGGAAGCAGTTGCCATCTGGGTATAAAGGCATGGACAGCAATGAAACTGGAATGCCAAAGTGGCCTAGCCAGGAAACACGTGGAACATTTAATTTTTGGAATACCAACCTCACTGATTGGTATTCCAGGGAGCACATAGTTGCCCAACCTCACTGATTGGTATTCCAGGGAGCACATAGTTACCCAACCTCACTGATTGGTATTCCAGGGAGGACATAGTTACCCAACCTCACTGATTGGGTAACTATGTCCTCTCTTCCTCAGGGTCAGCAATCACATTGGCTTATTGTATCACTTTATATCTTTACCAGCTCTTTCTCTATATAGTATTGAAATACATCTTTTGCTATATTGGATGCATTTGAGAGGTTATACTCTGTTCTATATGTGCTGTGTTAATCTCTACCAGTGATCTTATTTATTTCAGCTAGCTGGGAGCCCCTCTTTTCATCCATGGTTGTTGTCAGTGCCATACGGGCACCTGTACCCTCCTCAGTCCTCTTAGGATCCACATGTCTAGAATCAAGATTAAGTTTCTAAACTTTACTTTCCCTCTATGTAGATATTGGATGCACATACAGATCTGTTCTTTTAAAACTTAGCCAAGGTTCCCGTGTATTTGCAAATGTGTCATCTTTATCTTGTTGCAAAAAAAAATTGTTCAAGTCTCAAATTCCATTCATTCCTGTTGCCCAGTCCTTGCCCAAAGGGGCTTTCATTGCTGAAGTACTGTTTAACGGGCCATGTTAACCATATGTGCGAATACTGAAACTTTATAACACAGCAGTTTTCTGGAGTGTCTTAATATTATTCAGTATTTTTATAGTGCCAACAATGTTTGCACTGCTTCACAAAATAAAGGGAGACAATACAGATACAATAAAATTAAATACTGGATGGCTAGAAGGGCCCTGTAAGTGAGAGCTTACAATCTAAAAGGGAAGGGCAAGTGATACAAAAGGTAATACCTGTGTGGGGATGAGTTGTTCGAGAATTTCATTTGTTAGGTGGAGGCAGGAGAGGCTTCCCTGGATAGCCTAAAGGTGGACAGAGTTAGAGATAGCCATACAGGTTGGGGTAGTGAGTTCTAGAAGATGAAAGAAACTCTGGAGAAGTCCTGAAAGTGAGCATGGGAGGAGGTGATGGGGGATAAGAGAGTAGGCGCTCCTTGGAGGAGTGAAGAGGACCGTTCAGGTGCTTTCTTAGACGATGCTGGTGATGTAGATGGCGGCAGAGTTGTGGATTGTATGTTTTTGTTAGTATGTTGAATTTTATTTGCTGGGGGATTGGTAGTCAGTAGAGGGAGAGCAGGGCGGCAGACACTTATTTGGTAAGGTGCTTTAGTCTGGCAGCAGAATTATAGGGGGATAGCCTGTGTAGAGATAGGCCAATGTAAGAGAGGTTGCAATAGTCAAGGCGAGAGATAACAAGGGAGTGAATCAGTAACTTTGTAGTGTCATTGGTTAATAAGCGACGGATTTTGGAAATGTTATGGAGATGGAGTTGAAGGTGGCAAGATTTTGACAGAGGTTGGACAAGAGGTCAGAGTCCAGGATTACACCTAGCACCCTGGAATACCCATGACTTACTGTGCTGACAGGAATAAGAGTTTAAGCTGACTAGAAAAATCTGTATGCATATAGAATCATTAAATTTTCAGATTGTAATTTTTCAAACTGATTTGCTCATCACAAATGGCCGGCAGAAGAAGTGAGGGGGGAAATCGCTCCAATTGGGACAGAGTCAGAAGCAAAAATCTGACCCTTCCTTGCTTTATGCTAAACTAAAAAGAAACATTTGGGCTAGAGCCTATTACATTTCTATTAATTATGCAGAATAAAGGGGTGTTTTATGATACAGATGATCGGTGTTAAAGAGGCAAGAACTATGGGGGGAAATATGTCCAAGTCTTCAGCACCCCGGACAGTCCTGGAGAGTCTGGCCCCCGTATCAAGTGTATACGCTTTCAGCACCGTATGGGGATCCTAAGAGGATTCAAGAAAACACTGGAGATGGAAGAATCCAACACTTTGTCTGGCAAACAAACGCCATAACGAGAAATATATTTATAGTCTGGGTGTGAATAGATCAATGGTCCACTCCATACATGGACTGTCCTCTTCTTCCCGAGGAACAAACACAGGAAATAGATGGAGGAAACCTTGATGACTGCTGTGAGTGATGGAAAGGGAAAGAGACTCCCCACCTCTTATAAACACTGTTCTAGGGAAAAAAAACATCTTATCTCTCCACTATTTTTATAGACAGCCAGGGACACAAATAAAATTTTTCCAGCACACAATGTAGTCCAGCTGGGCTCCACTCACCGGAACACCAGAGAAATTCCAGAGAAATGGACTGATAGAGAGAGATAGAAAGACAGAGGGACTGTATAGACAGATACAGTAGATAGATAGATAGATAGATAGATAGATAGATAGATAGATAGATAGATAGATAGATAGATAGATAGATAGATAGATAGATAGATAGATGTAAGAGCACTGGCAGTCACAGTGTTGATGTGGTTATTGATACGAGGAGAGCCAGGGTTGGCAAGGAAAGGGTACCAGTAGGCCCAAGTATCCAGTTAGAGTCAGTTGAGCTTGCTTCACAAAGAGGAGTGCCTGGTGTCAGGCAGGGTCCTTGCGTGTAAGTCAGTGCTGTTACGGAAGCAGATGAAATAGATGTGTGACCAGGCCTGTCTGTGCTGGACTGACATTGAGCTAGTAAGAGTGAAGGTCCAGATCCCTCTAGTAAGAACAGCTGTGTGAGCTCTAGATCCCTCTGGAAAGGCGGGGCTGCCTGAGAGCAGTGTGTGCAAGCTACGTTATGTTTGCAATGCCATTTAAAGCACTTTTTATGTTGACTTTTGCTCATGGCCACTAATAAATAAGGCTTTGTTTAATACTTGCGGTGTCCTACGCGCTTGTTTTAAGCCTAAATTTCCCCATTTCTTACAATTAATATATACCTAGATAGATAGAACACAAGGATTCCAGATATTGATCTTTCTCCCTTCTCAGGATGAGATCCATTTCAGATTGATGAAATGTACATTCTGCTTATTGTGTGGTTAGCCAGAGGAGCCTCTGTTATAATAGATATATAGAAGTTCAGTTTTCCGGGTTGTGATCGATGGAGACAAAACTCAGAATGGTCCATACAAGATGTGAATTCACAGCAGCATACTGAAAAGTATTATGTGCTATATCCATTATTTTCTACGTATCCATTACAACTCTCCACACTATGGATAATGTCTGGAATGAGGGATTAGAAGAGTGGACCGTGGAAATGAAGCTTCTCCATTGGACTGTCAGTGAGCAGTTGGCGAATCATGGGTAGGAGAAGGGCTTCATAGACCTTTCAATCAGGTTAAGTTATATGTGCATATTATATGGTGCCCCTTGGTGGGCTCCATCTCTCTTCTTGATGTATCAGCAATCAGATTAAAATTCTCTAAGCAGGTGTAAATCTGATTGGTGGCTAAAAACATCTTCTGACACCTTAATACATCAGTCTTTCTATATGGGAGGGACAGCAAGGAACGGCAGTGGGCATGTTTGGGAATATAAAATATGGGGTTAAAGCTAGAGCTTTCCTTTAAGAAAACATTTTCTGGATTTCTTACAACGAATTCCATGAACAAGCTGAGTTCACAGGAACTCAGGAAGCTGAAAGTTTACAGTAAACGCCGCGATGGCTATGATATCAATGTTGTTCCGACTTAGAATAGAAGGCAATTAGAAAAATACCAAGACAATGGAAAGGATATATCAGCTGTGAGATCTGACAGCGCTGAATGAAATAAACTTCAGGGATAACAAACAGGGAAAGAAAATAGCCCCATGCAAGTGGGTAGAAAAACATCTGCTATCCTGCACACTTGGAGAAACAGTGTATGCAGGGCCTGGTAGGAACTGAGCCTGCCCATTCTTGTTAATGGCTTCCCCAAGCAGGCGCCTCCGTACATGGCAGCTAACCCTTGCTGAACCAGCACTGCTTCCTCTTCCACCATTTCCATTGAAATCATCTCAGGAGACACCACTGAACTGAATCTCGTACCGGATTGCATCTAGTTGCCAGTAATGTCTGTTCTCAGGTTCTATCCATCTACTGTTGCTCTTAGGGAAGAAGCATGGACAGCATGGGGTTGTTGAATCAATAGAGTAATGCTGAATCTGGATACAATGAATTATAATAAACTAAAAATAAAGCTAAATTAAGTGACATTGTGACTTCAAAACATTTGCAATCTTCTTTGGATGGAATCAGCAGTTTATGATTGGTTGACAATACTTGTAGCCATGGACTGCTGCTTAAAAAGCTGTCCCTGCTTGAACGAGACATGGTGAGCCCACAAGGGACAGGCGGGTCACAGCCTGCTGACGGAAATCTAATGTAGAGATAAAAATAGGACGCAGGAAGTGGACATTGGCCGGATGAGTTCCTAAGAAAGAGACGGAATGGAAGGGTCATTACTCAGCAGACTATTAGGCTGGCCCATACATGTAGCAATAAACAAGCAATCATAAATTAGATTATTTCCGACAATATTTTGCACAAAAGTGATTGTGTGACACGCACACACAAAACAAATTTGCTTGAGTTTTGAATAGATTTTCGGCAAGCTCTAATCCTTTGATTTCCATGAAAACAGTTTATTAACCAAAACTTTCCAAGTAATGTAATCAATATCTGATTCCATCATTTCCCTGGATCAATCTATATTACACAATGATATGTAGTGATGTGTATTGTTATATGTATAGTCTACATAAGGTTGAATTTTGCAGATGTTTATTAAATGCTTATGAAATGCCTATGCGCTATGTGCCCGCTACATGGAGTGCTTTTCAGACTGCTGGAATTAAAACATGCATATGTGTACAAATGTAGAGTGTAAAGCTGACTGTGTGACCTTTCAGCAGTCACCCCCTATTCGGTAGCTTGTTTTAAGCCTTGGAATCCTGCAAGGGGCACCCCAGAACCTACGAGCAGTTTCTAGATGGAAGTGGTGAGAAACCATACTTCACGTGTTAGGTTTTTTTACACACAATGCAAGCCTACCAGAGGAATGTATTTCTTTCAAGAGGACATAACACAGTACTGCACCAAGGCCGAGGATATTATAGGCCATTGAAACACTGCAACCCTAACAGTTGGTCAGATGAAGTAATGGGGAGACTCATACACTGATCTCAACTCCATGTCCTACAGGCAAAAGTCCAATACTCCTTCCCCATGGTGCCATTTAACATCTTCTTCCCCCAGGTATAGGCCGTATTGATTTTGTTCTACAAGACAGAGTCCCAGTTATCATATTTCTTGAGGAGTTTGCTAAACATCTTCAAAGTTCAAACTTATACTGTATGTTTCACAAGTCCACATATCCAAATAAATGGTGGTAATACATAGCATCCTCAAACAAATCTGCAAAGGTTTGATTTCTCGGTGCTGGTTCTGCATTAGCAGGCAAGCAGTGGTACTCTCACATTATTGCCCTCATATGAGCCAGGTGACTCAGTCACATCTCACCTTGTTCTGACCATACCCGAGCTCCAGTATCTTACATCCCACTGTTTTCCCCCATAGGGTACAATCTGCATGTCTCTCTTGGGCCATCACAATGACGACTGATTCCAACTCACTGCATGCCACCCCACTACCTAGGAGGACCGAAAACCGATAAACGCTAAAAAAGGGAAACTTACACCCTGTGACACTTAGACCAATAACTTTACATGGAAACGTAATAATAAATAAAAGCACATTACCGGTTTCTCCCCATCGTCTCATGGTCCTTGACGACAGCATGGAGCTCAGCATTTGAATCCAGAGGAACGCCTTTAAGGTCCCACTCGAAGCCCTGCGGAAAACCAGTGAAAAAAACCAAACTGTATTCAAAGTTTCCAAACATTCCTCTTCCTGACACAAGCTCTGCCATCATAAATTGACTAAATTTATTGGCCTTATTCAATAAGAAGTTTTGATTCCTAAGTGTAAGTCTGGTGGATATGTGGTAGCGCTGGACAAAAGGGATGCAAATTGGTTTTAACGTAAATCTAAAATACATTTTCCTTGAAGGAGGTACACCCACGATGAAAGTGTGTTGCATGTAGACGTGGTTCCATTCATAGGCTGCTGCTCTCTGATCACTTTACAAGAATCACCCATCATACAATCAAATGCTGGATATGTGGTTAGGAGCGCCTAGTACAAACCGCCACCTCACTTCAAAAATATTTATTGCAAAAGAACAGCGGATACAGCCAATGTATTTTGGGTGAAAGGCCACCCCCTTCTTCAGGGCTTGGACAACGATTTGTGAAAGAATCAAGACAGAATACATTAAAATGCCTGGAATAAGGCTAAAACAGGGCTGAGAATGTCAACATATCCTGATACAAATGAGGGCAGCTAACTGGATCAAGGCTAAAATGGGGTTAAGAACAACAGCACATCCTGATAACAATGGGGCAGTTGATGGGATAAAGGCTAAAATGGGGCTAAGAACAACAGTGTTTCCTGATAACGAGGGCTACCAATAGTTGGTTTCCCTCATTTTTATCCAGGATACGCTGATGATCTCAGCCCCATTTTATACTTAATCTAAGCGTTTTAGTGTACACTATCTTGAATCTTTCACAAATCGTTGTTCAAACCCAAGAAGTAAGAGGCCTTTGCCCCTGAAACATTTTGGCTGTACCTGATGTTCTTGGTTAATATTTTAAACAAATTTCCAAGCAAGATGACCATCTGTACTAGGCTCTCCTAACCAAATATCTGGTTCTTAAGTGTATTAACCCCTAGTAACCGATCAGAATTTACTGAAGTCAGATCAGTACAATATGAGTTTTAAATGGCTGCTGTGGGTTATTGACTTTAAGAATTAGCAATTAAATTGAATAAGGCCCATGCAATGCTTGCGACGCTCATGTAAAGAGAGCACTGGCCTGCTCTCTCGCTGGGTAAGCAAACATGGTATCACTTTGCCAATGCTCCTTCTATGGCAAGCTAAATTCTTCAACATTTCAGCCAGTGAGATTGTGATTCCATAGGAGCAAGAGTAATCTCTTTGAAGGAGAATTATGGAGAGAGTCAAATACACACTTCCCCATAATTAGAGTCGATGTGTGACACTGAAGCTGTCACACATCAGCTCTATAGATCGGGAAATGAGCAATCCCATACCACTGATCGCTCAGCTCCCGATCCTCTCCCTGCAGATAGTGGTGACTATCAGTGACTGCTACCCTCAGGGATTCCCTCCTCCCCTCTCCGATCCTCCAGCACTGAGTGGAGGGACAGACGGGGAGGGGGCGGGTACAGCTGTCAATCAGCCAGTAGGGTGGATCTTGACAATATTGTTGGGATCCGTCCCGGCTGCAGAGGAGCTCTGCCCTGTCAGCATATAGCGGGCAATAGCCCGCTATGTGCTGAGTTTTGGGTCACAGGAGGACATAGTATATGTCCCCCTTTTGATTCTTAAGTGAACTATGGCCAAAAAAGGCTGTGCCATAGTTCTCTTTCAATGGTCCTGTAGGTGGCCGGCAAAAGTACAATACAAAAATGCCACAGAACTTAATCAGTCTACTGAGCACAGAAAACCTAATAAGACTGTTTCAATTATGTAGATTTAAAACATATTTTTGTTGCATTCAGTTACGAATATATGTGCACTGCTGGGCCAGTACAAATCTCCAGATATGGTATAGCTGCAGATCGTGGGGCCCCATAGCAAAATATTGATGGGGTCCCCTGGCAACCTTTCTCTGTGGTTAGCTGTGTCAGGACATGTCTCTGAACCGTAACATATAGTATGTCTATAACAAGTGTTGTAGTAGCAATAATAAAAACCATCACATGACATAATTGTTAATGGCCCTGCACACAAATATTGTATATCCTTAATATAAACTTCTATAAAGAAGTAGTCTCACCTTGTATTATTTTTCACAGCTCGGTCATCTAACTCCCCCAGTATATGTTGCTTTCCATCCCATGCTTCTGTGTCCAGTAGAAGCTGAGATCGGGACAGTGATAGCACCCCCCACCT